GAGGAGAGGGGAATCTCAACCTCCATACCATGGTGGAAAGAAGGCATGAGGGACTAGTAAGGTATGTACTGAGAACCTTACTATTTTGTTGATTAAAATTGATGCCTTAAAGAGAACCATGGAAGAGATGGTTGGTAAAGTTGAGAAGATTAAGGGTGATATAGGTATATTGGAGAATCATACTCTTAGAAAACTTGAAGGGTAAAGAGTTGTGATGAAGGTCTAAGCTAGACCTGAGTTTACTCATTCGGTGGGCCCTCACCTTTGATGAGGACATCACAGATTAGTTGGGAGAATTGTTACATCCCACGTTGAAAGAACTTGAGGAGGGTCTTAGCTATATAAACGAATGTGCTGAATACTCCATTGAGCCAGCTTGTGAGAGAGAAGGCAATGATACTTTGACCACCCATGGATGGAATAGTGTGGTCCCCTGGATGGAAGGGGAGAGAGGTATGCAACGTACTCCAATGAGCTAACTTTTTAGAGAGAGAGTAATGATTCCATGACAAAGAAAAAGTATCCTTGCAAGAGAAATCCCAAGTACATGAATTGAATCAGTGATGAGAGCGTCACTAGATTAGGTGGGAGAGAATGTCACAACCTTAGTTCAAAAAGAAAAGAAACCATGAGATTACGGTGCTTTTGGAGATGTCCAAAATGATGCAGAGATTTTCAGGACAATCCAAGACATTCAAAAAGGATCTAATATATTCTAGAATATTTTAGAAGTATCTAGAATAATCTAGAAATATATGGAAAAATCTAGAAGTTTCTAGAAAGTTTTAAAACTTAGAGAGGGATGTGGAGATGTCTAGAATATTTTAAAATATTTTAAAATGTTTTAAAACATTCCACACATATCTTAAAGATTAGTCTAGAAATATTCTTGTAAATATATAGATATTTGTATGGAACATTATAGAGGATGAATGTAAACTATAGGATTAGATTGATCTCTACCATTCATTAAGGAGATGAAAAAACTCTAGAATAAGGGAGAAGTCTATAAATACCTCCTCACCCCTCATTGGTAAACAATAAGAAAACCAAGCAAAGTTCTAAACTTTCAAGTTCTCTCATCCTAGCTCTCTTCTCTCATGTTTAAGTTTTCAAATTCTTTTGCCTACATTTTGAGAATTCAGCAGACTTAACTAAAATCAAAAGGTTGATCGCGCTAAGACTTGCACAGTTTAAGGATAAAGGAGTTTCAAGACCGTGACACAATGCTTTTGTCCAATGGACATGAAAGAGAATTTATGCTTTTGTCCAATGGACATGAAAGAGAATTTATAAAGAGCCTAATTTTAACCAAGAGGCATAAAGATAATATACGAAAAGCGTAATTTTAACCGGTAGGCATAAAAAATAATCCCCACGGAAAGCCTAATTCAAGCTTTTAACCAGGGTACAAAATATTAACCCTAATCAGCGGCACACACAACTCAAGGGCTTAATACTTTTGACCAGTGGGCCTAGAAGAGACCATATGAATAGTCTAATTTTAACCGATCGGCATAAAAGGTCATATATGGAGAGCCTACTTTTAACTATTGGGCAAAACATTAATAAGACATATAAGTGGCCGATTCTATGGTGTTCTCAAGTGTGGAAGCCCAAAGGAAGCCAAGGTAGAAAGCTAAGCTGCAACTGTAGACTATAACAGTGAAATGAGTCAGGAGCTGGTAATATTATTGACTTGGCTTGAGCAGAATTAGAGGAGATATTGATTCCAACTTTGGTTATAACTTATCTAATCTTCCATCAAAAATCAATTAAGTTCTAACAAATTAATTCTCTACCTACCTTCCTTCTCTCGCAAAACCAAGACTCAAGTGCAATTATCTACCAATGTGCACCCTTATAAATAAAAACTTAAATTCCAACTTGATTAAATCCCAAATATACTCTTATTCACGTATCACACAGAATTAGAGAGGAAGATTCCAAATTTGTAAGAACCCAAACAACACACTCACACTCAGAGAAGGATGATAGTAGCAACAAAAAATAAGGAGGAGAAGTTTCAACCATACCCACACCAAATCAAGCTAAGAGAAAAAGGAAGAACAAGTGTTGGACCACTGGACAAGGACGTATCAACCGAGAAAAGAGTCTGTGGCACTGCTGCAGCAAATGAAAAGGAAAGAAGAGAAGACTGATGGCGAGAAGCAAGGAAGAGAAGGAAGAAGCCGCAAGTTCGACGAAACTCTCTGCAGCAGTGTATAATCGGCCACCCAAACACACCCACAACGGCAAACTGAAAGAGGAAAGGAGGGGGACAAAGGGAGAGCGAGAATAAAGCTGAAGTTTCTAGACTCTAGCCACACGTTTCTGTCTCTCTTACTCAGGGTACATTGACCGAGCATATAGATAATGGGGATCAGGGGGGAATCTGGTGTTAGCGGTGGTGTTGTTGTTGCTGTTGTTGTTATATATTATTTATATTTTATTTCCAGGCTATTGCACATATTCAATAATTTTTTAGACCAAGAAAAGTCAACAAAATCAGGAGAAAATATATCAATATCAACACCACTCTTGCATGCCCATAATTCACCAGTACAATTAGAACATGGTTTTGTGATTTTAGACTCTTAACACTACCAGGAAATTCAATAACAATGTCCTCATATACACCATCATCAAGTGAAGAATCCTCCTAAACTTGTTTTATTAGAAAACATGGTTAATATACTATTTTCTAAGTCTTAAGATATGTATGCTTCATCATAACTTCCACATTACTCCCCTTGTTAGACTTCTCAAGTATTGGAATGTGTTGGCTTACTGATTGTAGAGGCTGTGCAGTCTCAAGCAGATGATTAGCTCGCATATGGGGGTATTATTGGACAAAAGTTGAGGTACTCTTATAAAGATAGGAGTAGAAGTGATGGTGTAGATGATAATATGATCATTGTTCATTATATGTTGGAGAACTCTTAAAAGGGTAATAGTAAGGAAGGTAAGGGGTCAATTCAAATAGTTGTACTAGTACTTATTTAGCAAGCAATTATCTAACAATAGAAGACAACTCACCAATTTTCTTATCAATACTATGAGCATCATGATAAAGCATAAAGGGACAAAAATCAGTATCAAGATGATAACAATTTCAAGCCATATCCACAGCCAAAATGGAATCAATTAAACTAAAAGAAAATAAAAGAAAGCACAAAGTATTTTTAAGTATATGATCAAAATCATTAATTTTTTTTTTCAAGTGGACCCAGTCTTCATTAAAATAACAAACAAAAATAAAAGAAACTATCTAAAACAAGAAAGGAAAAAAATCAAAATATTAAATTTGAAAAAAATTTAAAAATAATCTAAAATTTAAAAAAATAATTGAAAATATGAAAAGCGATGATATTGATGGAATTTGGCCAAATTAGAGATCATTTAATAGCTAAAGCTGAAAATTTCACTCAACACTACCCAAAATATAAAATTATTGAGTTTTAGAAAAGTTTGGTAAGTGAGGAAAAAAAAATCCAGCAACCCCAAAAATGATATTAGCAACCAAAATGATCAAATTAAAGCACAAAACAAGGGGAAAAGTGAAACCAAAAACAAAACAAACACTAATATTAATCTTCTTAATTCAACTAATTAATACAATTGGCTCCCCAACAACGACACCAAAATTGACACTATTATCAAATAATGCCAAAATTAATAAAAACTAAACTTTATAGTAAAACGCAAATTAAATCATTTCTCTAAAAGTTAATAGATTAACTATTTAAATTAAGATTATAAAAAAACTAAATAATGGGGGGATTTTTTATAACAAAATTAATTTTAAAAACTAAATTAAAATTAAATAATTAAAGCAAGTTGAATTAAGAAAATCACCAAGTACAAGTAACATAGTCAATCACATCCTAATTACCTAAACTTAATTTTTCTCATCCATATAATAAATTGAAATTATTTAACTTTATTATTCTTGTTTTATTATATATTTTTTCTAAATTATTATTCAATGATTAAATAAGAAATTAAGTTATGGACTAATTAAAATCTCTCTTAAACCACAATCCAACACTTGTTTCTATATTAACCACACCAGAAACAAAACATGAATAATCACATAAGCTTGGCCAAATTGCTCTTATGATACTATATCAATTAATTACAGTAAGTAAAATCTTAGATAAAATATATAATCCAAAAATAATGCAGCAAAGCTATTCTAATAAATAATAACAATTAAAACATAAAATTTATAAGTAGAAAGATTGCAACAAAGCTAAAATAAAATCTTTCTTAAATATCAAAAACTCTTATTATAGTTTAAGGTCATGGTTTTTGTGACTGATCACATCAAGAAAGTTAGTTCTTTATAACTTTAAATCAAAAAAAAATAGGTGAAAATGAGAACAGCCATCGCTGAAGTGAATGAAGAAAAGAAATACAGAAAGCTATCGCTCATGAAAATTGAGGGGGAAAGAAAACGACGCCTCTGCTCCCCTCCAATAAATTCTACGTCCTCTTTTTATTCAATTCGATGTGATTTTGTGCGTGCCATCACCATGTGCGTCCATATGTTAAATAAACCGAAAATTTAATAAAAATGATAAAACTAAACTTAATAACCCTAATTGATAACTATATTAAATGATTCAAAATAAATATAAATAAAGTTTTTAAAATTTGATTATTGGCTTAATTTTTAAGTATGCTCATATTCTTTTATCCAAACTAATCTGTATCAATATTTTTTAAATTAAATTTATAAAATCTATATAAATAAAATAAAATTAAATAGTAAATGTGTAAAAATATCAAAAATATTAGTGATGGAGCCTGCTGCAAGCCCAACTAATCTGAACATGATCCCCAGAAGAACTCTTATATTCAGGCGGAGTCTTTGTTGAAAGGAAGGTTGCTCGTAACAAAGGCAATATGTTAAGCATGGTTACAGAAATTGAAATCCTTAAAAAGATTAGGCACCGAAATATAGTCAGAATGCTAGGTCACACGCTCAGAGAAGACTATGGTGTAATCTGGTAGGAGTACATGCCAGGAGGAAAGCTTCATGATGCTTTGCGTGAAAAGAATCCACCACCATCCCTGAAATGGAAAGTCCATTTTACAATAGCAACTGGAATTGCTTGTGGGTTGGCCTATCTCCATCTTGATTGTCATCCTGCCATTGTACATGGTGCCATCAAACCAAGAAATATACTACTAGTTTCTGATATGGAGCCTCATATTGTTGATTTCAGTTTTGCCCAGTTTTTCGATCAATCTTCTTCAACACCATCTTCATCTGTTCCAGGTACATATTCCTGCTCATTGCCAATTTTCTCTTTCTTTACTACTCCCTCCGTATCTATTTGTAAGACTATATCCATTGATCTCAATACTAGAATCTTCACAAAAATTAATAAAACGTTCATGACTCATTTAGACAATGCCCTTGTTTTTTTTTTCATTCTTAGCTTAAATAACGACACTTCCATCCCGCCTCTCCCTGCAATAAACTATGTCAATCAAAGGGTAAAACTTGAGAAATTTTTGACATTTAACTAATTTTAACTTATTCCTTAATTTCGTGAAAGTAGTTAAGAGGGTCTTATGAAAAGAATTGGAGGGAGCATTTTCGTATGCTTACACAAAATAACATGTTCTCATTGGCCCATGACAAAAAATGTATATATAACAGCCGTTGATGTCTACGATTATGGGATAGTTTTGCTTCAATTGATAACCCAGAAGAAGGCAGTAGATCCATCATTTATAGAGGGAATTGAGATAAGGAGCTGGGTGAGAACTGTGTTGGGGGAAACAGGAGAAATTAATAAAATTGTTGATGAGAGCCTTGCAGAGGAGGTTTTGAATCCATTTGTACTTGCGCAAGTTATTGATGTGCTTAAGGTGGTTCTGAGATGCACTGAGAAGAATCCATACATGAGACCCACAATGAGGGACATTATCAGGCAACTTCTTGGTAAAACATGGCTATCATATAGATGAAGATTTTATATATGCTGATTTCTTCCCCGTTTGATTGAAGAGATCCCCTGGAAGTCTGACTCTGACATATAAGGAGTGTATTGCTCCAGTTTAGTTTGTTGTCCCCCTATATGGAAACAAAATGAGGTAGAAACAATGCATAATTGATGAATTTGCCAGATATGACTTGGGTTGTATTCAATAAATCAACCAGGCTCTTGACCCTTATTTCGGAGTTACTATAAAATAGATGGAATGAATTTGATTACACCACTTTTGTTTTCAATATTATCCTTACAAGTTAATTTTGATATGTGTCATTCATATTGGCAAGAAAATAAAATTAAGGGGACTCATAATTTTGATCATACGCAGAAAAAATAAAATCAATAAGCTTCAGATAACTATTTCGAAGGAAAATAGCATTCCCACAATGCAAAAAGAGTGCACACGTTTGTTTGGATTAGAATACACACAAGGAACTGAAAGTTGCCAAGGTTGAAAAAAATGACACACAACTTGGAACTATTGATTTTGCAAAATAAACACTAGCACAGAGAATTCAACAAAATAATGCTTGTGCAATACTCTAGCCTCAATTACCTATATACAACTCAGTTTATCTGTATATAACACAACACGCCTGGAGTCCTATTTTCTCGCTAAAATTTACTCAGAAAGAAACGCCATTCTCACATAATCTTACATTAGACATGCCACTATCTAGTGACCTTAGGACTTAAAACCATTTATGCTTGTATACAGAATCAAATTTCAATTGTCTCCAAGGGGGAGCTCAGTAACTTTTTGCGGTGATCTTGTCATAAGGAAACATAATTCTTCACCATTAAAATCTCACCACATAATTTTCGCGGTATTTGCTCCAACTTGTTCCCCTCTTGCCATGCTTGCCCTACTGAAACTTCTGGTCCTAGATGGCGGACATATATCACAACTTGATCGTTGAAAGGATAATGATGGTTAACTGTAAATACAAAGCCAATGCAGTGAACACTCAAGTTATCTGTTATGCTGCAAGAAAAAGAACCCTGAAGAAGCACAATAAAATTAGAAAAGGACCTATAAGAAAATAAGGCCACCAGTACACGTTGTAGAGATACAAGACTTGGATGTTACAAAGAAATTTTCTTCAACGAAGTGGGTTTTTTAACATCTACACATCCTTGGCCAAAAAAAACTACAACCATACATGAAACTTCACAACTTACTGGCTCCAAGTACAGCAATGTAGATGGTCATAATACAATGCTAAGAATATATTTTAACAAAAAGCCGAAACAACATGTCTATGAGGATTAATGGATAATGAATACTTTGAATTTGTTGCGATAAATATTAAGAGTAACCATGCATGTATGAACGAATAAAATGCATCCCCACCTGGTCTCGGAAAGCCCTGTGGGAGTCCTTTATATCATACAGTCCATCTCCAATTTCGTATGCTAAATCACAGGGCTGCTCAGTTGACATCGCTTCCTTGAGTTGTCTCACCGTAAAATACAAAGGAGCAAAAGAATTAGCAAATGCAGCCGAAGCCGGTACACTTGGATTGTTCCAATATCCATAAATATATATATATATATATATATCTCACTAGCAAGGACAACTAAACTTGGGCTTAAAACTTGAGTGCAACCAAAGGAGAAGAAAATAGATGAGCCAGACAAATGAATCCTCAAAGATTCTTAATTAAACTACAACTAACTTTTTGGTTAAAAAAAAAAACAACAATTACTTTGGAATATTTGAGGAAGATCAGCATGACTAATCAATTTCAACCTCTTCATCTACACTTCCTAAAAAAGTAACATTATGATATAGGAAAGCATGCAAATTTTTAATTGAAGATAAACAATGAATATGATTTGACTTTTCTTCCTTCACATTATCAAGATTATATCATATATAAATCCATAAATCTTTACGCAAAAAGGGTGTGCAAGTTCTATATCCTGGTAAAATTCAGTTCTTTTATACAAGTAAAGAAAAGTTTCTTTTGCTCCTTTTCTTTCTTGCCTGTATCTAAAAATAATCATTCTGTCGCACAATTGAATCATTTTAAACAAGTCATACCACGGAGATGTAAAGTGTTCCCACGAAAGTACACAATGATTGGTGACTATTTATTTACAAAAGTTTCCATTACTCATCTTTATTTTTAATATTTCTTATAAGAATTACAATAATCATGTGAATTAACATAACACAAGGGAGTTGAATGGATAATATGAATTCAAGCCAAGTCAATTTACAGTACTTTTTTATTTGGCTAATCAATTTAATGTATTATGCACTTCTTCTTTTTTTTTTTCAAGTGATTGCATTAAATTAGACATGGAAGTGACGTTCAGGACCAAAATGAGTTAAGAAGCAACGTATGTTTTAATCGAGATGCAAATATTTTCACTAAAAATAGTAATTGTGCAAGCAAATGCATGCATCTTCCAGACAAGTACGTAAAGAATTTACCAATGAGTCGTCCATAGGCCTTCCTGTCCTTGCAAGAAAATATAGCCTAAAACAGGAGAAAAGAATAAATCACAACCTTCAAATATACTAACAAGAATGGAAAGCATATAGGGAACAATGAAATTACCTTTTTGAAGAATTTGATCCAGGAAATTAGCATTGTCTCTGTTGAAGAAGGTTTAATATTGAGATTAAAAAGAATTACAAAATTGATAGCCTTAGACCTTTAAGTTTAATGCATGCAAACAAAAGGTGAATACCCATGCAGAAAACTATGACAAATATATTTATATGAAAAAAAAAAAAGACACATTGGAGTTCTCCAGCAGCAGGTGTGATAGAAGAGGAAGATATCAAAGAAGATTGAAGAATTTGACATTGGAATATAAAGGAATTTAGGATGGAAAAAACTGTGCCCCAATCAAGAGACACTGCTTGTGACCAAGAGAAGGTCAGGGGAAAGACAATTTGGTCCTCTGATTTCATTGTACGATCCGTTAGTCTTAGCAAACAATAAGACTATCCCATTAGTTACATTTCCTTGCTTTTTGTCTTCTTTTCTTTTTTAAAAAAATTGGTACGAGTACTTGCCTTGTGTACTCTTCACAATATTCCCTCTGAAATTAATAAGGCATTAGCTTACAGAATGCCTTCTATTCGACTTCATTGTGACTAGATGCCAACAACACTGTATGAATTTTAACTAACCTTCACTTGTACGGCAGTTGAACTCTCCAGACTACAGTCCATCGATTCTGCCCCTCTATGATTTTTCTTTTATTCATGTGAGTTATGCTCGTCTCTCATTATTCCTCTTTATCGATAGCATCTCTCAAATCTCAACAGTGCTCTTTTGTCTACGATTGTGCTTCATTGTGCTCCTTCGTCTATGACAATGCTTCACCAAGCTCAAAGATTCAAATGACAACATCTGTCAAGTCCTCCTCTTGCTTGAATAGAATCATAGTCTGATTTGCTTTTCCTTATTTTTCCCTCATTCTCAATTTTGCTCTCAGATAGACTTATGTCTATAATTTATCTCATTTGGTCATTTTGATGCTATCATTTTGTTTGTGTTCATGATTTATTTAGTTGTTTTATTTTGATTGTTGTCATTTTGTTTATTGATATGACTGTGCTTTTGATTTATATACTAGTATGAGATTTTTAAGTTGTGGAATGAATGAAGTATTACTATTTAATTTGATAAAAAATTTAATAGAAAAAAATAAAAATAAATAACAGGGCTTGAAGCTCACAGGGCTAGCTCTAAGCCTACTATCTCAAGGGCTGAGCCTTACAATTTGATACTTCAAAAGTAAAACGAGCTTTTTAAGCTCGACCTTTTTAGGCCGAAGCCTATCAAGGGCTAACTCATTTTTTTAACTCTAATGACTGCGTGTTAGTTTCACAGATATGAAGAGAGAGAGAGAAGGGGAAATGGCAATTAGGGACCCTGTAAAAACATTAATGACAATAAAAAACCGTAGTCTTTACTTGTAATTTAAAAAATGTAAATACTCAGTTGGAAAATCTACTGACTATACTTAAGACTATTTGTCATGTCAATTAAAAATTTACAAAATTTAGTTGAGAATCTCAATTTTTTCATTGTTAATATATAAATAAACTATGCTAGAGTGGCCAAGCTAATTTTTTCAATTGCATATATAATTTCTTTTAGGAATATTATAGATATCATTTTAATATATAACTTTGAGATAAGATTTTTTTTTTTTAGGATAAGAAGATTAGGGAGGATTTTTTTTAATTTATCTTTCTTAATTTTTTTATTCATAAAAAATATATTTTTGGTCATGAAAAATTATTTTTCGCATGCTAAAAAAATATTTTAATTATAATTTTTTTTTTGGGATTTAAGGATCAATTCAAATATACAATAAAAAGACAAGTCATGACTTGATAGGTCTGCAAGTACTAAAATAAGGATAAAAAATAAAGGAAAAATGGCATGAAAGGCCTTAAAAATAGACTTTATTGCAAGTTAGACCTAAATGAATCTGATATTACTCTGTAAGCCTTAAGACCCTTATTGCCACTTGAGACCAAAAGTATTATTTTGCTTTTTGTTTGATTTAAATTTAGAACTTGTGTGAACTCTCAAAATAACGAAATAAACCATGCATGATATAACATTCATTATGCACAAGACAATGTCCATGCTTCTCAATAAAAAGTCCATGCATTTTAAGTATTTCACTAGCCTTAACTTTAGCAAAAATGACTAGGCAAACCATGCACGACACAACATCTACTATGCATAATACGATGTCCACGTGTGCTGAACAAAAAATTCATACGTTTTTAGTATTTCACTAGTTTAGGCTATAACAAAATGATGTTAGACAAACCATGCATGATACAACATTCACTATGCACAAGACGATATCCATGCATGTTCAACAAAAAGTCTATGCATTTCTAATATTAGGAAGGACAATTACATCATGTATGAATAATTTCATGTTGGTATTAGCCTAGGTACTAAAACAAGTACCCACATGAAATTTGACACAATATTCCAAGTCTGATATATACAAAAAGTTAGCCACTATATCTAAAATATCTAACAGTTGCTTCTCCATATACAAACAAAAAATATTTGTGATTCCCACTTGCCTAAAAAATATTATTTGAAAATGCTTTCATATACATAATTATAGTTGCTTGTGTACACCAAAGAAGTACAATGTAACCACTTCTCATGC